ATATATAATTTGTTATCGAGCAAAGTTGAGTCAGGTTATCAGGATGGGGTCTTCAAGAGAACTTGACTCAAATTTGTTAGATTTTTCTACCTGGATTATTGTGAAGCATCAAGACAGAAATTTATGTTCATACATGATAACCCAGGAAATAGTCACCCAAWATTTATTCAGGCAAATCTCAATGAGATCACACAACATGCAAACTCCACACAAAAACCCCAGGTCCAAACATGGGACTAAACCCAGGACCTTCTCGCTGTGAGGCAACAGTGCTAACCACTAATCCTTGGTGCTGCTACAATCAAAACAAGCTATTTTAAACTGTGTGAATTCAAGCTGGCATGCATTAGACATAGACAGTACAGCAGAAGAACAATACTGTGGAAGCTTGTTTGCTGGAATTACAAACAAACATCCAAAGACATCTCTGCCCTTCTCACCTGCCGGCTCTGAAAGTCCAACATAAGGACAGTAGTGTCCAGCAGCACATGGAAGACAGTCAGCTGGGCTGTCTGTGTGCTCTCTTGGGTTAAAGGTGCCCATAGGACAGGGGTGTTGGTTCGGTAAGACCGTACCTGCAGGACAGTAATGTCCTTTAGGGCACGGCCTCGGCAAGGAAGCGTTGGCTGAACCCAATCTCAAATCACAATAGTACCCTTGAGAAAAGAGAATTGTGTATTTTAAAACTGTTTCCAGGATAGGACAAATGCATAAAAAAACATCAACTTCCACAAACAAATACTAGAGAACCATTTGCTTCTTAATGGAGGTTAAAAGAGATACATTATTGCGGTAACTGCTTACCTGGCTCACAGACTGTGCAGGATGTCTGTTTGTCTCTGTCCTGATATGTTCCCGATGGACAGGGTTCTGGAGCTGAACTACCTTGTAAACAGAAGTGACCAGAAGGACATGGCAGAGCTGTCCCCACATTCTGACCAGGAGGACACCAGTAGCCTATAAACAGAAACAAATTAGACTTCAGGGCGAGAGATAAAACCTTCAGCAAAGAACGTGTCGAACACATATTCTATTAAAAACAAAGAAAAATCTACTTCCAGAATGAGTCATGAAACAGCTATCAGACTGACCTTGACTGCAGGGTCCAGTTGGAGTACTGAGGCCTGCTTCTCCACAGTAGAAACCTGCTGTACAAGGCTGACAGCCTGCTTCATTAGTCAGACCCATCACTGGGGAGAAGGTACCAGCTGGACACAACTCTGGCTCTCCTGAGCCCTCAGCTGAATGTGTATAAGGCAGAAAAATAACCAACATAACTGAACAGAAGCTAAGCTAAGCATAATGAAGAGGAAACATCCTACGCAGATCAGAACCTGATCAATGGGTTAACACAAACAGAAACATAATGACTCATTGAAAAAAAGTGGTTTTCATCATGGTTTGATTTTTAGTGAGCTCAATATTAATGGATTGTTTCACAGATTTTCATCAACAAAGAGAAGAAATTAGGCTTGTATTTGTACATTCATGCATGTAGCAATGATTGTGCACACTATACTCAACATTAATATAAACTAATTGTTCAATCTAATTTACAGTTCATTTTGCCAAACTGTACTTCAAAACGGCCTTAAATAATAGGAAGGCTGACTGACTGAACTTTTTCAGTAAAGCTGAACTCACCACAGAACATCCCAGGAGGACAGATGTTGCCTGTTTCTCCATCTGTCGGTCTGGCCCTCATGGCTCCTCCAGTGCAGTAATACCCAGGGGAGCAGGGACCCATTGGCAAAGCTAAACCTTTTTGGACAACACAATAATGTTACTTTAACTTTACCCAGACTAGAATGTCTACATACAAGAAGGCAAATATCCCCTTCGGTAGAATTAAACTAGGAGTTTCAAACACAATATATATATAT